GGGAAAGAAAAATGGAAATGAAAACGATGGTTAATCGTTTTCAGTTTTCCTGATTTTTGGGAATAAGTAAAAAAACGTTTTCAATTTTTGTTTTTCAAGAAATGGGATGCCAAACACATATGTGAGTAGCATTTTCATTTTTTTGTTCTTGAAAAACGTGAAAAATGTTTTTAGAAATGATTCCAAACAGGCACATAGTATTTTGCTTTGCTGTAGTGCATAATAAGAAAACATAGGGGAAAATCATTTATAACCCTGAAATATATCAAATACTTAAACAGCTAAAGAGATAAATGTTTATGAATGAAACAACAATGGCGAGGAGCCGATGACTCAAGGAAGGCTGAGAGGCTAAGGTGCAGACAAAGAAGAGAAAGAAGAAATGAATTAGAGGAGATGAAATGTCTAACCTTAGGGAAATTGATTCGGCCGGGTCAGCCTTTTTTGGGTTCAACCGAATCCGACTTGGCACCCGACCCGTACTGTGCGAGTTTAGCGTACATGCATCCAAAAAAATAAAAACAAAAGGGCCTGTTTGATTTCGTTTTCGTTTCCGTTTTTCACGTTTTCCAAGAACTAAAAACTGAAAATGCTCTGAGGAAGCCGTTTGGCAGCATTTCTTGAAAAACAGAAAATGAAAACGTTTTTTACTTTATTCTTAAAAACTCAACAAAACTGAAAACGATTGAAAATCATTTTCAGTTTTCCATTTTCATTTTCTTAAAAACTCAATTAAAAAATCAACCAAATTTCTCTACTTGAAAACAATCTCAGAATAAAACTATCAAACGCATTTGTTTATTTAATATATTATTAGTTTAAATATTATTTCATGTTTTTAAAAATTAAACTACCAAACGCAATTTTAATTTTTTTTAAATTGAAAACAATCTCAGAATAAAATTATCAAATGCATTTTTAAAAATGATTTTAAAATAAAAATAAAAATATTTTTATTTTTATTTTCATATAAAAAATAAAAATATTTTAGAACCAATTTCAAACGCAACCAAAATTTTTTTCGCTAGAGTAGGATCAGTTCAGACAAAATCATCATCGAGTTCGGGCTTATTTCTTACCCCTAATAGAAAGTGTCAAAGCGAGCGAAAAGACGCTTGTATTTTCTCTTAGTTGTTTGACACTGCTCACATTGATGCTCTCACGGACTTCTCATCTTTGCCAACGAAACGCTATCTAAAAACAAGTCCGTCACGAAACGAAAGGAAAGGCGAGGTACTGACCGCCAAATGGCGCAATCTCTGTGGACCGTTCTTTAGCCACAGTAATGGACCTGTACCCTTCGAAAAGACCTGTACCCTTCGAAAAACGCCCCGTCTACCAGACAGAGAGGCCAAAGGAATAAAATAAATAAAAAAGATAATTCGCTTCGGATTTTACCTCTGGGAACGACGCTCCGTATTAGATTCTCCCACTATCCGAGAACGAAAAGCGCACAGTCACCGCCCCCGCGCGCGCGTGTGCGTCACTCTCCGTCGTTCCAGAGCTCGGCCACATGTTCATTTGAGCTTTTCCGAGCCTCCATTCCCGTCGCCGGCGACTTTGGGGACGATGACCTCCATAACTTCCGTCGAACTGAATTACCTCGTATTTCGTTACCTTCAAGAATCAGGTCTGTTTCGTTTCGTACTTCCTCTATTGATCTCTTTAAGAGAGAGAAAAATGGTTCCTTTTCTGTTATAATTAGGATTTATGAGTCGTATTTCCGTCCCTTGTTGCAATTGGCATCGAATTAGGGTTTTGGCAGAACCTGGGAATTGTAATTAGAGAAGAAAGTTTCAAATTTTTGATTTTTTATGGATTTTTTGTTTGGCATAACGAGTACATCTATTTTGGCCTAAGGTTTGTAAGCTCGGAAAGAGAAAGGATCTGGTTTTGAGGATGCTACTTTTTGAACAGATTGTTTCTAGCTAAGAATTCATATTATAGTAGGTCACATTTTTGTTCGTGTATAAGGAAAATGGGAAGAAAATTTTCCAATGTATTTGGAGAGTTCCTGCCCTAAAATATTTCCTCGTTGTTAATTGTTTTGAATTTTGTAGGTTTTGCGCATTCGGCTTTTGCGTTAGGATACGAGGCTGGTATCAACAAAAGCCCCATTGATGGCAATTTGGTTCCGCCCGGTGCCCTTGTCACATTTGTACAAAAAGGGCTTCAATACTTGGAGATGGAAGCCAACTTGAGTAATGTTAGCATTGCCTAATTCTAATTTTGTTGCTATAATTATAACTTATTTTGTTCTATCGTGCGCGGCTTTCGAGTTTATGTTGATCGTTTTTGTTTCAAGATTTCCAGAGTGACACAGATTTGGAGGAAGATTTCTCGTTCATACAACCCGTAGATCTCATTACAAAGGATGTATATCAGCTTCGGCAAATGATAAAAGAAAAACGGAGAATTTTGCAGAAGGACAAGGATAAAGATAAAGAGATTGACAAGGAACATGAAGGAGAGCGGGGACGAGTTAGAGAGAAGGAAAGACATGAAAGGGAGAAAGAACGAGAAAAGGACAGAGAAAGAACCGAAAAGGATAAGCAACAAGAAAAGCAGCATGAGGAACATAATGAAAGGGATATGGTTACTGATCAAGAAGATAGGATCAATGCTACGCATGAAGGAAATGGAGTATCTGGAGTTAAACATGAAGGTAGTATGCATTTTCTGCTCAATCGTATTAAGTATAAGATTTTTAAATTTATAAGGCTGGTTAGGCTTCCAGGAATCACTGCCGCTATTATCCTGAATTGTTTCCGCTGAAAGTATGCTTGCAAAGACTTTGAACAATAAATTGAATACATTTTTCTTGAATTCATATGTCACTGATTCATTTAAATTACTGAATGTATTTTGATAGGCCCAGAACCAATGGACATCTCTACGAATTCATCATCTCAAGCATATCAAATCCCTAGTTCTGATACTTTAGTTCTGGAAGGACATACTTCTGAGGTTTGACCTAAGAACATTTTGTTATATTTCCCCCTTTTATTGTTTTTCTCTTCAGCTTCATTTCTCCATCTGTTTTCATTTCTTCATAGGTATGTGCTTGTGCATGGAGTCCAACAGGTTCTCTTCTTGCCTCAGGGTAAGTACCTATTTGTTTCATTATGCAGATCTCACTGACTGGATTTTCTTTTTGTTTCGCATTTCCTACAACACTGTTAGCTTTAATTCACTTTGTCTGATTCGTAAGAATAGTTTGTAAAGCATTGATAACATAGGCTGATATTCTCGTGTATACCTGGCTCAAATTTTCTTTCTCGATGGATTATGAAGAAGAGCATTCCATATATTTTTATTTTTTAGGTGAGTAAATATCTCCCAAAGAATTTAATGTTGCTTAACAGCCTAAGGCAGATAAATGCATCTCTTCTCTAACGTTGTCATAAATTTTTTAATGTTGTGGGATCAACGGTGGGTTTATTATTTTTCATAGAACCGCACAAGTGGTCTTTAACATGGTATGCTAATATCAGGAACTTAGAAAGAGCAAGATTGTCACGGCAACAGTTAGTTTGAATATTTGGAAGTTTAATCTATTTATTCTACCTTATAATTGAATTCACTATGATTTCTAGGTCTGGAGATTCAACTGCTCGAATTTGGACCATATCTGATGGAAGCAGTGGATCTGGCATGCGAAACAGTCTTGTAAATGTTTTGGTGCTGAAGCATGTCAAAGGTAGAACAAATGAGAAGAGTAAAGATGTCACGACACTTGATTGGAATGTAAGTTTTGCTTTTAGTTATGTTTATATCAAGATAACCCATTCATCAGATTTCTTGTACTGGTTTACATGCCATATGAAGGCTTACCATGGAGTAAAGTTTGTGTTTTTTTTTTTCTTTTTTTTTTTGGTGGGTGGGGTGTTGGTTGTGGGGGTTGGGGTGGGGGGCTTGGGGGTCTTGGGTTATCTACTGAAGAAAAATTAGAAAGCATGTGTGAGAACCTTCAATATTAAAAGAACTATAGTGGAAACAGTGGAAGAATCATGAGGTGCCTAGTGTCCAAGTTGAAATTTAGTCTGGGATGGCTCAATTTGTCGTTAAAATGTAAAACCAATTATTGCTAGTGCTCATTCTATTGATCCAGCATTTGAACAGTTAGATCCAAAACGACTTAAGAGTAGTGCAAGTATTTATTTGCAAGGCAAAGTTTCAGCTGCCCTTTGGACAGTTCTTTTTTCTTAATAATGAAAACCAAAATCTTTTTTGAAGAAGAAGATGATGAAGAAAAACAGAAGAGGACCTAATTCTCTTTTAGCTTTAGCTAACAAAAGAAACCCATTTCATCTGTGTTTAAGGGGGAGATAAGGTATACTTTTAATTCTTGCAACATTGTTTTCTTTATGCCCTCCCTATTTTTGTGTGTGTGCCTTTGTTGTTGGAGAAACTTTTTAAGTCCTTCCCTATTCTTATGCAGGGGGAAGGAACACTGCTTGCAACCGGTTCGTATGATGGGCAAGCTAGAATTTGGAATACAAATGGTAAGATTTTTTTTTTCTTGACCCGTCCTGATTTATGTGTTTTTTGTTAGATTCAGATTTTGGCGTAGTCAAGTAGTTTTCATGTGAAGTGTTTATTCCGTGCAAATAAATTTTGTTCTTTCAGGTTCCTCTGTTTGTAGAATCCCTTTTTGAGTCAGTATGGTAGTTTTGGTGTCTGATTTATTTTACTTTGTTGAGCGATTTCTTGGTTGAATATAATTGTAAGTTTTGCCCCTCTACATTCCTTTGTTAGTGTCAGGATTTAAACCTGGTTGCTGTCTTTTCTAGGTGAACTGAGGAGTACTTTGAGCAAACATAAAGGACCCATATTTTCTCTCAAGTGGAATAAGAAGGGGGATTATCTTCTCACTGGAAGCTGTGATAAAACTGCAATTGTGTGGGATGTGAAATCAGAGGAATGCAAACAGCAATTTGAATTCCATAAAGGTTCCGCATGTTATAGTTCGTACAAGATAATAGTTTACTGTCGTCTAAGCAGTTCTCACTGTTGGGATTTGAATATTAATATTTTTATTGTTTAGGTCCAACCCTTGATGTTGACTGGCGTAACAATGTCTCATTTGCAACGAGCTCCACGGACAGCATGATACATGTATTCAAGATTGGAGAATCTCACCCAAGCAGAACTTTTTCTGGACATCAGGTTTGTTATTGAATTCAACTCCCAAGTCTTTTTCGATACTGCCCTCTACTACTATCCTGAGGTTATACAATTACCATTCCTATACTTAAGTGTCCTTCAAAAGGTCAGGTATAGTTGTGGGTTTTTGGTGGTTAGATTCTTGAAGAAGCACAAGGGAAAAATAAAGAAATAATGGAAAGGCAATCCTGAAAATAGCAGTAATGTTCCACAGGCATCAGTAAAAAAAAAAAAAGAAAAAAAAAAAGAACTTCCAGTACAGCATGCTAAAAGAAACATATTTTGGATGAGAGACGGTGTTAGTGGGAATACATGGATGAAAAGTTTGATAATAAAAGCACTTGAAATAGCTATAAACTAGAGTTTCTCTTTCATGTATTCCTCCTTACCTTCTGAAATGTTGAGCATCACTCTTATTGCCGAAATATTCCACATTCACTGTTTTTTGTTGCTAATAATCAAAATTGTGCTAGTGCAGGGTGAAGTTAACTGTGTCAAATGGGATCCAACTGGCTCATTGTTGGCATCGTGTTCGGACGATATTAGTGCAAAGGTTTTTTCTGCTTCATCGCCTTTGGAGCAAGTTATTTGCTTATTTTGTTTCCATTGACATTGTGCTGTTTTTATGGCTGATGACCTATTCAATGTATACTTTATGCTTGAAATAGATACCATATTATATGGTCAAATATTCAGATCAACTGATTAGTTCTGCTATTTAATTGTTTACTTTTTGATATTGGGAACAACATAATTTGTTTCTCTGAATTTTATATGAAAACGTTGATGCAGATATGGAGTCTGAAGCATGACAAACATGTTCATGATTTCCGAGAGCATTCTAAGGTACTGCTGGGGTAAACCTTAATGATTTTTGTGTTTCCAATTATGTCCACACACTATTTTTACAGGTCTCTGTCTCTTTTTTTTTTTGCCCTTTCTTTTTTCCAATTTTTCTAAAAGCTGCATAACTCTCTTGCAGGAGATATATACTATCAGATGGAGTCCAACCGGGCCTGGCACAAACAATCCTAACCAGCAGTTGGTGTTGGCAAGGTAAATTATGCTGCTTCCTTGTCGAAATTGAATGCCGTTGGTTTGTGTCAAGACGAGTCTGCAGGGGTTCTTTCTAGATCTTCAATTTCATGTTTCTTAGATCATTGGTTCCTGTTCTTTTCACAGTGCATCATTCGACTCAACTGTGAAGCTATGGGATGTAGATTCTGGGAATCTTCTCTGCACTTTGAATGGACACAGGTATAGACTAAAACAGCTCTTTGCATTCACAAGAACATATCGGAGTGATAAGACCCTAAAAGTCAAATGTACCCCGGAAAAAAAAAGGTCGTGATTGGTATTATACGTAATTTAATAAAAAGAATTTTACAGTAGGATCATAACGGTTATGCCAGATTCTTTTTCTGAAGTTAAACCAATACTTGTTCTACTTTTTCATATGATGTACCCTTTTTTCACTTAATCACCAGGGAACCTGTATATTCGGTTGCCTTTAGCCCAAACGGTGAATATTTGGCAAGTGGATCTCTTGATAGATCCATGCATGTATGGTCGTTGAAAGAAAGCAAGATTGTGAAAACATACACTGGTAATGGAGGCATATTTGAAGTCTGTTGGAACAAGGAAGGTGACAAAATTGCTGCCTGCTTCGCCAACAACACAGTTTGTGTTTTGGATTTTAGGATGTAATTTCGAAAAGGTTCCCTTCGATTTCATGTTAGGAATTAGTTCGTCTTCCAAATTCCGAAGTAGAGTTTTCTCTCTTTTTGCCCCCTCTGGGAGGATAGGAAGAAATTTGTTTCAGGTTGGTAGCTTTGCTTTTAACCATTAGGTGGTGCAGTTTCTCACTGACTTTTGCTATTATTTTTTGAGTTGCAGTTTTCACTTAATTGTCAAAAAAAGAAAAAGAAAAAAAAAAACTAATTTCTCTAGGTGCGCATTGATAACAGCGATGTACATAATTGTTGGGACTGGATCCGTATTTATGAATTGCAATTCTCGGATGATGCACACATTATTTACTGGTTCTGTACTTGGCTTATTATAAAACCCACTTCACGTGCCACTGTTGTATTCATGCATTAGAGGATCTCCAACGCCAAAATGGATTAAAAAAAATATATTCTACAATGCAACACTCTGCCTATATTTGGTATCTAAGTATTTGGTTGTTATTGGTTGATACATTGTCTTTTTCACTTAATAATTAATAATCACAACTTTATCATTTTCGATTTGTTTATATAATAATTTTTTAAACTAGTTCCAAGCCTACTAAAAGTTTATGACAAAAAATATATTACACCACCTCCAACGTATATTCCAATGTCAGTATTATATTATCACTAAAAAGTTGTGAAAAGTAATATATTTGATGTGCTATTTTATGTTGTGTTCAAATGAGTGCTTTATTTAGTTTTTTTTTTTGTAACTATCGAGCATTTGAAAGTTGTAATCTTTTGATGTTAAAATAATTTGAAAGTGACAATGATGTAACGATGAAAAGAAAAAAAATAAAGGCATCAACCAATAGCAAATAAAATAAATGTCAAATTTTTAATGTGATATACTGTGTAATATGACAAATTTGGCATTGTATTAGAGAGTATTTTAGACACTTAAATGCTAAATTCATTTTTAATGTGAATGCTATATCCATTGTAGAGTCTTTGAGTTTTATTATGAGCCTGTTTAGTTCGCTGATTCGAGTTGAGATGTGACTTTATGTGAATTTTTTATTGTAGTAAAAAAGTTAGATGTGATTGTTTATAAGAGATTTTTACTATAACAAAACTCGAATTAGTGAAATGAATATGACTTATATACTTTCAAAAGTATAGTTATAATAGTGAATGTGAATGGGGGAGAAAGGAGAGAGGCTTTCGGAGAGAGAATGTAGAGAGGAAGGAAGAATAAGGGGTGAATGCAT